TTTCCCTAGGGGCTTGGTGATCCTGTCCCCAGAGAAAAGCTACGCCCTGGAGCTGGGGCCTGGGCACCTTCGGGGTCCTCCCACCATCTCGGTCTCCCGGATCCAAGACCTCCTTCCGCCAGTCTACGCGTGCGCCCTGAGCCGGCGGGAATCGGCGCCCCCCCAGGCTCCACCAGAGCACCCGCTGGGACAGCGACACGGTGGCCGGGTGAGGGGGAGCGGCAGGAGGGCAGCCCTGGGACCCTAGAGCTTCGTTCACGGTGACGACAGCTCCTGCTAAAGCAGCGATTGCCATGTGCCAGGCCTTCACTGTCCGCAGCGGCCCTGGGAAGTGGGCGCTCGGCAGCTCCTTCGTGTGAGAGGCCCAGGTGCCCAAGGCCGTTCAGCTAATAAGTAGTATATCCAGGATTCGGATGTGAGTCCTAGACTCAAATCCTTGGGTCTCGTGATCCCATATATAGAGAGCACACTTGGCTATGTAAAATATCGATCACAGAGCCATAAGAACCCAGCCTCCTAACTTGTAAAATGGGGATAATAAAACTACCTACTGCATAGGGTTGCTGGGAGGATTAAATGACCCAGTGTATACGTAAAGCACTTAAAACTGTGCCTGGCATATGGTAAGTATTTGATGGCCTTGGCTATTATTGTTATTTTTTAATTTGGATAAAGCTCTGAATTTGGAGCCAGAAAAGTAGGGCTCTGCTCCCAGCTTCGTGACCTACTCTTGGTCCCCTGGGGCGAGTCCTTGGCCTCCCAGGCTCCCAGTGGCCCGTCTGTCAATGGGCTCTTCAGGCGCCTCTGTCTGACCACACGGAGGGAGTGGACACAGGTTGGTCAGCCCTACGCGGCTGCTGGCGGTGAGAGCGAGCGTGCCTGATGCTCCTTCTTTCCACAGTGGAGGCGGGACGTGGTGACAGAGACCAAGATTATCGAGCTGGTAATTGTGGCTGATCACTCGGAGGTGAGCTCGCCGGGCCCTGCGTGTCCTCCCCTGCCCCCGCCTGCCCCCGCCGCCTTTCACGGCCACCTCTTAACCCACAGGTCCAGCGGTACCCGGACTTACAGCACCTGGTGAACCGCACGCTGGAGGTGGCCCTCCTCTTGGACACAGTGAGTGTCAGGCTGAGTGGCACCCTAACAGCCCCCATCCCGGCCATGGGAACCCCTGTCCTGAGCCCCGGTTCCTTCACAGTTCTTCCGGCCCTTGAACGTGCGTGTGGCGCTGGTGGGCCTGGAGGCTTGGACCCAGCACGACCAGATCGAGATGAGCCGAGACCCAGGTGTCACGTTGCACAACTTCCTCCGCTGGCGCCGGGCCAACCTGCTGCCTCGTTTGCCCCACGACAGTGCCCAGCTGGTGACGTAAGAGCCCCAGGCTGTCAGCGGGGCGGCTCTGCCCTGGCCTGGCCCATCTCACACCCCAGCTCCCTACCAGAGGCCCCGAAGCTCTGGCCACCCTGGCCTTGGGGCGTGACCTTGACCTCTGTCCCTCAGTGCTACTTCGTTCTCTGGGCCCGCGGTGGGCATGGCCATCCAGAACTCCATCTGCTCTCCCGACTACTCAGGAGGTGTGAACATGGTGAGTTACTTCCAAGTCTCCCCCGCAGTCCCGGTGGGGCTCCTCCCAGTCGGGGTACCATTCACTCACTGAACCCCCACAAAGTGGGCACAGAGGGCAGCGGTGCATCGTGGGCTCTGCTGACTGGGCACCTTACTAAATGGCCAGCTCATCAGTGTACTGCCCTCGCCTAGGAGGTCTTCCCCTTGCGGCGGGGGCGGGGGGCAGCTGAGGCCCAAAGAACAGAGGTCACCTCCCCAGGCCACACAGTGAGGGAGGGGGACAGAGCCAAGACAGAACCCAAGTTTCCTACCGCCAGGCCTGAGCTCTTCTCCGGAAGCAATTAAGGAGGGAGGTGGTGCCTGCTGGGTGCCCAGGAGGTCCCAGGGGGAGAGCACAGGTGCGGTTCGGCCGGCGCTGGACCGCAGCTCCCCGCCCCCACAGGACCACTCCACGAGCATCCTGGGAGTCGCCTCCTCCATCGCCCATGAGTTGGGCCACAGCCTGGGCCTGGACCACGACTCGCCTGGGAACCGCTGCCCCTGTCCAGGTCCAGCCCCAGCCAAGAGCTGCATTATGGACGGCTCCACAGAGTGAGTAGCTGCAGCATGTGCGGAGGGGACAGGCCGGGGGCAGGGAGCGGTCTGCAGCCACAGCCTTCCTTGCCGCCCTCCCCAGCTTCCTGCCAGGCCTCAACTTCAGCAACTGCAGCCGACAGGCCCTGGAGAAAGCCCTCCTGGGTGGGATGGGCAGCTGCCTCTTTGAACGGCTGCCCGACCTGCCCTCCAAGGCCACTATCTTCAGAAACGTGATCGCGGAGCCGGGCAAGCCTTCGGCGTGTGGCTTCCCAGAGGTGAGCGCCTCCCACTCCATGCCCGTGCCCTGCCTCGCAGGCTCTCTCCAAGCGACCCGAGCCCCTCTCTGGTTCTAAAGGGCCCACTCCCGGCCTGAGGGGCAGCACGCGGGTTGCCCTAGCTTCCACTCACTGTGGGCACCCTTCCGGGATCGGGCTCCGGAAGGAGGGGCTGGGGCGGGCTCTCAGGCTCGCCTGCTCTGATGCGCGCCCCTCCGTGCCCCGGCCCACAGGACTGCACAGATCCTTGCTGCGATCGCTTCTCCTGCCAGCTGCGGCCAGGGGCGCAGTGTGCATCCGATGGACCCTGTTGCCAAAACTGCCAGGTGGGCACAGACTGGACCGGCCTCCTGGAGCTCGCCTGCCAGGGGCTGGAGTGGAAAGGGTCATTCTGGCGCCCAGGGCCCACGCTGATGCTCTCTCGCCCTCCACAGCTGCGCCCGGCTGGCTGGGAGTGTCGCCCGGCCAGAGGTGACTGTGACTTGCCCGAGTTCTGCTCGGGAGACAGCTCCCAGTGCCCCGCGGATGTCAGTCTAGGGGATGGCGAGCTGTGTGCTGGCGGACAGGCTGTGTGCGTGCAAGGGCGTTGCGCCTCCTATGCCCAGCAGTGCCAGGCTCTCTGGGGACCTGGGGCCCAGCCCGCCACACCGCTCTGCCTCCTCACTGCCAATACTCAAGGGGACGCCTTCGGGAGCTGTGGGCGCAGCCCTACTGGCAGCTATGTGTCCTGTGCCCCGAGGTGAGTGAGGGAAGGGCCGCTGCCCTGGGTTTGCGGGGGCCTTAGCCCTGCCCCACTGACCCCGTGCCTCCTCCTTCACCCCAGAGATGCCATTTGTGGGCAGCTCCAGTGCCAGGGGGGCACAGCCCAGCCTCTGCTGGGCTCAGTCCGGGGTCTGCACTGGGAGACACTGGAAGCCAACGGGACCCAGGTCAATTGCAGCTGGGTACACCTGGACCTGGGCAGTGACGTGGCCCAGCCCCTCCTGACTCTGCCCGGCACACCCTGCGGCCCTGGCCTGGTGAGCAGCCCTGTGGGCAAGGCCCGGTGGGGAGGGACATCTGGACCGCAGCCAGTGGTGCCCGGGTCTCACAGGCCCCCAGCTTCAGAGGTGTGGACTCCGAGGGGAGCTCACGTTCCTACTTGCCATCGAGTAAAGTCCTGTTGTCTCAGGAGCCTGTTTCCCCATCCGTAAGAGCGTGGTGTGGCCTCGGGTCTGTTGGCGAGAGTGTGACCTTTGCTCTTCCTCACCCACCGGACAGGTGTGCATCGACCATCGGTGCCAGTCTGTGGGTCTCCTGGGAGCACAGGAGTGTCGAAGCAAATGCCACGGGCATGGGGTGAGCTGAGATGGGGACGGTGGAAGGGAGTGGGGAGCCTGCGGGGCAAGGGATGGGCCTCGGAGGCGGTTCCAATCCTTGCTCTGTGACCCGGGACGGCTTACTAACCTCTCTGAGGTCAGCGTCCTCATCTGGCCAGTGGGCGTAATGATCGTGCCCACGTCCCGGGGTACCCCCAGCACGTAGGAGGCTCTCACGGGGGTAGCTCGACCTAGTTTCTGGTGGAGAGGCCCGCTCTCCGCGGGGCACTGGCTCTCTGTGCCCCGTTAGTTACCCCAGCGCACTTCCGGTCGTGGACACCTGGGGTCTTCAAAGGCCAGGGACAAGAAACACATCCCAGAGCGCAGAGCCCCTCACGGCTCCACCTGTGCCTCCCAGGTCTGCGACAGTGACCAGCACTGCCACTGTGAGGAGGGCTGGGCACCCCCCGACTGCAGCGCCCAGGTCACAGGTAGCCCTGCCTGGGGCGGGGCAGCTGGGAGGGCAGAGGGCTCGTCCTTTACCCGCCTCTTTTTCCAACTCCCGCTCACCGCTGGCTCCCTGGCTCTCTGTGACCCCTGACCCCCTCGCCTTCTCCGAGCACATGACCCCTCTCCCTGCCCCCACCTCTTCCTGGGCGTGGGGGTCTCAGCCCTGCTCATCGTCACTGGCCTTCACCCCGCAGCCACCAGCCCCCTGGCCACAGGGCTGCCCGTCGGGCTCCTGTTGTTGCTGATTCTCGTGCTGCTCGGTGCCAGCTACTGGCACCGTGCCCGCCTACGCCAGCGACTCTGCCAGCTCAAGGGACCCAGCTGCCAATACAGGTTCCCGCCTCCCTGCTGCCAGCTCCCTCCACAGCCCCCCCCTGCAGCCCCACCACCTCCCTCCCTTCTGCCACCCCCCAGAACTCTTCACCTACACGTAGTAGACCCACATGGGGCGCTGGGATGCTGGGGCCACTCCCCCCAGGGAGCCCCGGTGCTGGGGAAGTGGGGCCCTCCCTCAGGCGGGTCAGCTCCCCTTCACACCCCTGATTGGCCCTAGGCCCCACACACACTGCTCTCCAAGGGCCGGCCGCAGAGGGTTAACCCAGCTCCAGGGTCACATGTGGATGGAGGCTGGGCCCTCTCCCAACTTGCCTTTCTCCATGCTCAGGGCAGCCCAGTCTGGTCCCCCAGAACGCCCGGGACCCCCGCAGAGGGTCCTGCTGATGCCAGGTGCCAAGGTGAGTGCCTGGATGCCAGAGGAGAGAGCGCTCGCCTTGGCTGAGCATCCAGCTTGGGCCCTGGGTCTGGGGTGTGGAAGGCTGGAGACTCAGAAATAGACTCACATGGCCCGAGAGTCAGTCAGAGGAGCCAGGGCCAACTCTCCCCTCCCCCACTGGCTGCACAGTCCAGCCTGGAGTGGGGAGGGCAGTCGCTGAGAGGAGGGTCTGCTGAGCTCTCTGAGCTGGCTAAGCTGGTGGCTTGGAGAGGTGGGTCTAGCCCCGCTCCCAGCAGCGGCCCCTGGAGGGGAAGGGTGTAGGGCCCAGAATGGCCTTCAGTACAACAGGACCTGGTGAGTGCCCCCGCCCTGAGCCCTCTGGACCTGCTGGCAGGAGCTCGTGTGTGGAGGTGGTCTGCACGTCCACTCCAGCACTGCCGCCCCCTCCGCAAGCGACTGAATAACCGCGTGCACAGCCTCCACTGCCCTCCCTGGGCACTGACCCCTCTCTGCCCACACCTGTATCTGCTCCCTCCCCCACCCCACTCTGTGCCCGTCTGCTCCTCCTGCTCTCTCACAGGCTAGTGCTCTTGGCTTTCCGGCACCCCCCTCCAGGCCGCTGCCTCCTGACCCTGTGCCCAAGAGACTCCAGGTAAACCTGGGCCAGGCCCTGCCTAGAGCAGGCGGGAGGCTTGGTGCCCAACTGCAGTTCTCATCCCTGTTCCCTGCCAGTGGTGCTCTTCTTTAGGGGACCAGGGTGCCCCTCAGCCTTCAGACACTCTGAGCCCCAGAAGCAGCAAAGGGTGAGCCTCCTGCCTTGGTTTCTACCACCATCTGGTGGTCAGTGGCGGGACTGCAGCCGGCCAGGGACACCACGGTGACCCATACATAACTTCCTCTCCCAGGCATCTGCTGTCACGCACCCAAGCCCTGCGCGCATGTCCCCGTTCTCTCCTGCCCCCTGGCTGATTTTGCATGTTGACTTGAATCCCTCGAGAGAAGCTCTGCATGCCCACTGCCCCTTGCTGTCCCCTCACAGCCACTGCCCCTCTCTCTGTTCAGGCTGAGCTGGCTGACCGGCCCAATCCCCCCACCCACCCTCTGCCCGCTGACCCGGTGGTGAGGCACCCAAAGGTAACAGGGAGGGAGAGAAGGGCACAGCCTCTTCCCCCACCCAGGGCGAGCTGCCCGCTCTGTGCCTGAGGGCATATACCCCTGTGGAATCTCTAATGGGTGACAGGTTTGTCTGAAGACAAAGGTGACCTCTGGTGCTGCCCCACCCCCAGAAGGTGGTGTTCCCCAGCACCAGTCCATGGGGGTGGCCAACATAATACCCTCTCCCGACCCTTCCCCCTACATTCCTTCAGTCTCAAGGGCCTGCCAAGCCCCCACCCCCAAGGAAACCACTGCCTGCGGACCCGCAGGGCCCGCGCCCTTCAAGTGACCTGCCTGGCCCAGGAGCTGGAATCCCGCCGCTAATGGTCCCCTCCAGGTGGGCAAGGAGGGGCGCTGAGAAAGGGTGGGCCGGGCGAGCGGTCTGGGGAAAGGGGACCTTTGACCTTTTCTCTCGGCTTCCCGCACTCCAGGCCTGCGCCTCCGCCCCCAGCCGCGTCTTCGCTCTACCTCTGACCTCTCCTGAGGTTCCGCTGCCTCCAACCCGGACTTAAAACTTAAAGAGGCAGCGGACCGGCCCCCTGAAGTCCCCCGCGATGACAGAAGGAACCCGAGCCTGGAAGCAACGGAGCCAGTGTCTCAAGACGGCGGGTACCGCCATGAGCCGTGGAGCATCACCCTAGGGACCCGCCCACGGAGTTGCAGCTGGGAGTTGGGGAGGGGCTGGGTGCCGGACCCGGCCGAGGGAGGGGTGCATAGCCTTTCTCTGCTCTGTTGCAATAAACGAGAGATCTTGGGAGCGCGCTTCAGCGTTGTCGCTCAGGAAAGGCCGCGTCGCCCCTGCTGCAGTTCCAGGTCTGGCCGCCAGGAGGCGCTGCCGCCTCAGACGAAGACGGGATAGGGCGGACAGGGCAGCATGTGTCTCCGGGATGCTCGCGGCTTCTTTCTGCCCAGCCTGGGATGGCTCAGCAATCCAGCACCAAAGGAAGTTGTACGCCTTTTGCCTTCCGCAGTCGCTAAGCCCTCTCCCCCAACGCCCTGGGGGGACCATCGACACACCGGCCAAGCTGTTGGACCCGCCGTCCCCACCCTCTGGCGGGCCGCTGGGAAAGTGGATCTGGCTGGTGTTCTCAGAGCCCCGGAGCCGGGGCGGAGTGGGGCGGCGGCTCCCACGATCCCAAGACCGCGCACCTGCCTCCTCCCCCGCCCCCACCTGAGGGCTCGGGAACAAAGGTGCTTTGTACCAGCCGCAACCACCTCATTACTTCGTCTTCGGGAATGGGGCCGCGTGGGCCCCCAGCCCAGAGCAGAGGTGTGGGGAGGAAAGGGACAGGCGCCAACCCCAAGGTGAGCATCAAGCTCGCCACTGAAGGGTCGCGGGGGATGGGGAGAAGGGGTGTCCCAGGAGGCGATTTGTTCCTCTCCCCACCCACCCCCCGCGTTATCCCTAGATGTGCAAAGAAAACGGGGCCGGACAGGCTTCGTGCATCCTGCCGCGGCCCTCACTTTACTCTTTCTGGGTAAAGGGCGTGTGCTCCTGTTTAAATCTTCCAAACTTCTAATAAGGCCTTCTACCCTGTACTAATGCAGACACGAAAGGCGCGACCTCCTTAGAACCCTCCTGAATATTAGAATACGTCCCTCTGCCTGCCCCCTCGCGACGCGGTGCAGCCTCAGTAGCAGCGGGGCTGACCTGGCGCGCGCCACGGGGCACAAGGGGTTAAAGGGAGTTGGCGCTGAGTGGAGAGGCAGAAACGCGCTCCCATTGGTGGAAAGTTAAGCGAGGGCGTGGCCTGTGGGTCTCCGCACACCGCCCCCTTTCCCGCACCCCCCCTTCTCCACTTTGTACCTTTCTCTCGGCGACGGCAAAGCGGGCCGGGCCGGGCCGGACCAGACCAGACCGGACCGCGGGGGCGATGCGGCTGCTGCCCCTGCTGCGGACTGTCCTCTGGGCCGCGCTCCTTGGCTCCCCTCTCCGAGGGGGCTCCGGCCTCCGCCACGACTTCTACTGGAACTCCAG